AAAGGGAGTGGACTGACTATTCTTGTGGGGGAAAGGGGTGTGGGGGATGCGGGAAGAGACTGGACAAAAATCGTGCACCTATGAAAGAGGACAGTGGGTGGGGAGTGAGGGCAAAGGGTTGGCTGGGAACTGGATGGAGGGGAGCTATGGAGGAAAAAAAGAGGAACAAATGTAATAATCTGAACAATAAAGATTTAATTAAAAAAAACAACAACAAGAAAGCTCACTGCATTGGAGAACATATTTGCCAATGTAATATCCAACAAGGGTTTAATCTCCAAAATTTATAGGGAACTCATATATCTTAACAAAAGGAAGATAAACAATCCAATCAAAAAAATGGAAACTGAATAGAAACTTTTCTAAAGTGGATATACAGAAGGCCAAAAAGCATATGAAAAAGTGCTCAAAGTCATTAATCATCTGAGAGATGCAAATCAAAGCAACAGTGAGGTACCATCTCACACCTGTCAGAATGGCTATCATCAGCAAATCAATAAATGAGAAGTGCTGGCGAGAATGTGGAGAAAAAGGAACACTCGTGCACTGCTGGTGGGAATGCAGACTGGTGCAGCCACTGTGGAAGACAGTATTAAGTTTCCTCAAAAATTTAAAAATGTAACTCCCATTTGACCGAGTAATCCCATTTCTAGGAATGTATCCCAAGAAACCAAAAACACCAATCAGAAAGGATATATGCACCCTATGTTCATAGCAGCACAATTTACAATAGCTAAGATTTGGAAACAACCTAAGTGCCCATCAGCAGATAGGTGGATTAAAAAATCTGTGGTACATCTACACACTGCTCTAAAAAAGAATGAACTCTTACCATTTGGAACAGCATTGATGGACCAAGAGAGCACTATGCTAATTGAAATTAGCCAGTCAGAGAAAGATAAATATCACATGATCTAACTCATTTGTGGAATATAATAAATATCATGAACTGATGAACAAAAATAGATCCATGCCCTAACTGGTTTGGCTCAGTGGATAGAGTGTCGGCCTGGGGACTGAAGGGTCCCAGGTTTGATTCCAGTCAAGGGCCTGTACCTTGGATGTGGGTACATCCCTAGCAGGGGGTGTGCAGGAGGCAGCTGATTGATGTTTCCTCTCATTGATGTTTCTAACACTCTATCCCTCTCTCTTCCTCTCTGTAAAAAATCAATAAAACATATTTAAAAAAATAGATTCAGAGACATGGAAGCATCGAACAGACTGTCAAACTACAGCAGGAAAGCAGGGGAGGTTTGGAGGGTGGTAAGAGATCAACTGAACGACTTGTATGCATGCATATAAGGATAACCAATGGACACAGATGCTGGTGGGAGGGGAGGGGATGTGTGGGGATTGGGGAGGGGAGGCCGGGGGGAGGTCAATGGGGAAAAAAGGAGACAACATATGTACTGCTATTTGTAATACCTTAAACAATAAAAAAAGAAAGAAAAGAATGGTTGAAACAGTCCTAAATGGAGTCACTTTTGGTAAGCATGTGAGGTCACAGATATGTTAATTACCTTGATTGTAGTGATTCTTTCACAATGCATATTATACTGAATCAGGATGCACACCTTAAATATAAACAATGTATATCCGCTGTAATTCAAATATTTTCAGGTTAGTCCTTTCACACACAGGCACACACACAGAGATGCCCACACTCACGCACAGTCTCACATACGTACTTCCCTTCTTTATCTTCTTCATACATCTCTGATCCCAAATTTGTTTCAAAATATTCAAAGGGAGAAGGGAGGGGTGTGAGAATTGTCAAATGATATGAATGTTTCTGTGTCATGATCATTGATCCAAAAGGCTTTTGTCATGGACCAGTTTATGACGGTATTAAAGTGTTGATGCATGTTTATAAACTAGAAAAGAATTAAAAGAAGAAAAAAATCTCCACATAAGAACCATAGCACCATCTTTACAGATCTGCATTTGAGTTCTTTATTACACAGAAAACATGAAAAAGTTTTCCAGTCAGGAAGAGTGAGTGAGTCTTAATGATCTAGTGCATTGTTAATACTCCTACTTGCTACTGTGATTCAGAAGTTTGGGAAGAGATAAAGAAAGTTCTGTATCATTTCTTAATCTTATTAGAATCAAACATAACAAAGTTGCCAAATTACAGACAGAGCTCTCATTTTCCCAGTTTATATTTCCAATTTTTTAATGCTTCCCCCAACAGCTGACTGCTGGGAATACCAAAAAGCAGATACTTTCAAAACACTCCTTTGTGTTGAAGTAGAAAAAGTCCTGGATTAGTAGCCAGTTGATATGGATTTTTTGCTTCAGCTTTTCCACTAACTTCAAGCTTGTTAGCAAATCTTTTAACTTTGGGCCCTATATGTAACAATATCAGCATCGCAAGGGTGCATGGTATTAAAATGAGATAACTGAGATGGAAGCACCTTAAATTACTTGCAATGCTGTATCATCCATATAATGACTTAATTCCAGAGAATAGGATCTGAGAGGGTTAAGCTGACCAGTACTATAAAAGGAAACAGAAGAGTTTGTAGAAAATTTTATTACAAGAAAGTCCAGTCCCATTATATGTCTCTATTTCCCTTTGATGCATTTAACAGAATGGATTATATAGAGAAAAAGGAGTAATAAGCAGAGGAGGCAGAGCCTGAGAGAGCTCAAATGCATTACTCATTGCTATTCAAGGAACAAGTAAAAGGTCAACCACGGGGCCATAACCCCTGCAGGGTAGCATCTAGCTGTCAAGGTGCACAGGCACCAGGGGGTTACCCTCACAGGCAATGACAACACGCCTAGTGCTGGCCCTGGCCCCATATCTGCAGTTGTAGGGCGAGTAACCTCCTGTATTTCTGCAGTCTGTGACTCTCACTACACCCGCATGACAGTTCATCCTGCCTCTCTTGCACCGGATATTGGGGGTCCTGCAGATGTTATTAATGGTCCCGATGTCTTCATGGATGAAGGTGTTGAATTTCTTGCAACCATCTGAAGTCATCCCTCGTCTTTGCATCATCCTGTTGCAGTACAAGTCGGTGCCACCTGTCCCTGTAGAGTCCACATGTTGCCGCTGGAATCCTTCATACGTGCCCTGGCCATAGGAGGGCTGCACCAGCCCCAGCCCCAGCAGGGTCAGCAGCAAGAGCAGAAGCAATGAAAGGGTCTTCTGGAGAGCCATCACTATGTTGGAGGTGCCTGGAGAGAAACAAAGGGGAAGGAGAAAGGAAGGTAAGAAATGGGCACCAGAGAGAGGTGTTGAGAATGGCAAGCTGATATTTCCTCAACTCTATAGTCTACCCTTCCTCCCTACTTTTCTGCTCACAACTTTTCTCATCACTGCTTCCC